GACGTACCCACCCACCACACACACACACACACACACACACACACACACACACACACACAGTCTTCTTTTCTCAGGACTAAACATACATTGTTTAACCTTTCCCCATGGGTCAGTTTTTCTAAACCTTTTATCACTTTTTTGCTCTCCTGTGGAGTCACTCCAACTTGTCCACTTCTTTCCCAATGTTTGGTGCCCAGAATTGGACACAATGCTCCAGCTGAGGCCTCAATAGTGCTGAGCAGAGAAGGTGAACTAACATCAACTAACTGCTGCACACGATTACCTCCTGTGTCTTACTGTCATACTGATGAGTCTTGACGCCTGACTGGACAGCCCCAGGGCCCAAACCAGAACCGCTACCAGACACTTTGCATTCTAACTGCCCAAGTCTCTATAGCTAAGGTATCTGCAAACTTTCCTGCCAGCCCTAGAAAAATACCCTTTCACATTAGCCATGTTTCTGAGTGGTTATCGGGACCACCAGGGCTAGTGCCTACAAGGCCCAGATGCTGAAGCATCTCCAGTGTTTGCTTCTGAGTTGTGGTACACCTGGCACATGACTGGAAGCCTGCGGGTGTGGGGTAGTGGGCAGCCACAGTAATTACACCTGAAATGTAATTTCATCCTGAGATAAGTGGCCTTTGAGTGCCCCTGAAACAGGCAGCAAATAAAAACGCAGTGGGCAGCTGGCCACACAGACTGATGGCTCCTCTTTGGGTCTAGCGGGACAGTGAGGTCCGGTGGGCCTAGGTGACAGCCTGAGGAACACACGGAAGTAGAAGGCAGAGGAAGGCAATGAGGAAACTCACCTGTGTTTTCTCTTTTTCTTTCTTGGAGTGGTCTCTGCTTCACAGTCTTCTGGCATTTGTTCTTCCAGATGGATCAGTGAGACAGTCAGCAGATCATTTTTCCCATCTGAACTCTTGTGCCCTAGGCATGTGTCCTCTGTCTCAAAAGCTCCCTCCTGAGGAGTGCCATCCTGCTGCATATCTGTACTTCCTCCACCCAGTCTCTTAATGTGTTCATTTGCAAACTCTTCTTCTTCCTCCTCTTCCTCAGTATCATTCTCTGATTTGCTGCTGTCACTGGAGTTCATCTTCATTCGGTTAGCTACTCTTACAAGTTGCATATGAAGGAACTAGTCAGTATGTCATGTGCAAGACAACCTGAACTACAGCTTGTACCAGCTTAAACTACCAGCACCAGGTAATATCAGAGTGTCCCAACCCCAGCCAAGGCCCAGGCATAGGCAAGTTCTAGCAAGTCCTTTCTCTTATACCTGTCTGCCCTTTTCTCCTGGCCTACCCCAGCAATGACCCAGGGAGTCAGCCTTGCCTCTCTCTGCCCTTGTTCCCCAGCAAGCCTTCCACCCACAGAAGCTGTTCCTTTTTCCTGTCCTTTCCCTCTATGCCAGGTTACAGAGATCACATGAACTCACTAGTGCACACTGAAGATCAGATTAGACTCTTGAAGAAATGATTTCAGGAGCTCTGCCTGGGGCTATTTCTAGGGAAGACCCACCTGTGTGATAATCGAATAAGCAGCAGCTCCTGTACCTCCAAAATACCTAAGAGGCTTGACCATGTTGTCCCTCTCTGTAGAAACTACTGCATGTAGGCAGCGTACAGGGCAAAGGGTGACCCTTTATACTGTGTCATTAATTATTTTTATGCACTGTTGGATTGCCACACACAAACTGACAGGCTTAGAGTCATGTCATCTAAAGTTTGGCCCCCATTGCCCTCCCAGTTAACAGGTTTTGGCACAATAGCTTTCCAGTGCAAACATCTGCGCCAGTCACTGTCCATTCTTCTACACTTGCACTCACTCCCTTGGATGAGGGATGTGTCTACACACACCCACCTGCTCCTTACTTCCCCCTTTTCTAAGATCCCAAGAATACATCTGAATGCTTAGCCAGATGCATTGTCGGATGGGTCAGTGAGCTGCTGCTTGGACAAGCCACACATGCAAGTCCCAGCCCCACCCTCCATTCAGGTCCAAGGTCATTGGAATGATTTATGTGGAAATAAATGACCTTTATATAATGACCAGCAGTGCCTATGAGGCCAGTCTGGCATGGTGCGCTATGGGGCTCCGAGTTCAGGTTATGTTTACACATAAGCATCTTTAACATATACGCCATCTAGGAGCGCAGTGGTGCACAGAAGCCAGCTTACTGCACTGTTCACTGGCAGAAAGTCAGAGGGGCTTTAGGACAAGGCTGACTGCTTGCAGCTCCTTAGACTTAGAATGCCAGCATGTGCTGGCTGACAGGCAGCAATGTCAGTGACGGGCAAGGAAAATCTGCCCTTACAATAGCCTGGGCAAGCACAGAGGAACAATGTAACATGGGGTTCTGAGGCCTATGCTGTCACTTGAACACGGTTCGTAGGTACGACAGCAATGGGCACCCTGGAAATATAACAGAAAGACAGACTGGCTTCCCATTGCAGCACACTGGAGCTATGCAGTAACTTTCCCTGTGATGTGATGGGCCAGCAGCCAGTCCTAATGCAACCCAGGCCTTGCCTGTCATACGGAAGGTAACTGCACAGCCCCAGTGTGCTTCCTAGAACTATCTGCCAGAGCCACAGGGGGGCGCCCCAGCCTCCCGGGCGAGGCAGATGGGTGTGCCAGGTGTATGGGTAAGGCCTAACATCAGTGACGGGCAGCACCACAGGAGGCCGACTGCTAGGACAGCCCAGAGTGCGGGTTCCGGCTCGGGGGTGGGCCAGGGAAGCAGGGGCCTGGTCCCCTCATCAAGGCTCATCACCACCCCCACGCCTCCCTGAGATGATCCACCTCACCCAGAAGGGAGCTCTAAGTCCTGCAATGCCCATCCCCTGCTCCCCCAGGATGGGGTCCTCCCCCCCAGGGGGCCCTGCCCCTCCTCCCCCAGGATGGGATCCTCCCCCCCAGGGGGCCCCACCCCCTCGCTCCCCCAGGATGGGATCCTCCCCCCCAGGGGGCCCTGCCCCACCCCCTGCTCTCCCCAAGGAGGGCTGCTCCGCCCCGCCCCCTCCGTCTCCCAAGGGTGGGACCTGCCCAAGGCTCCGTCCCTGTTCGGCCCGGCGGCTGGGCCCCGCCCCGGTTACCAGGCCGCCCTGCCCCGCATCCGGGCGGGGCAAGGGCCCCCTGGGGCAACAGCGGCAGCCGCGCCTCCTCCGGCTCCCGCAGGCCCTGACGCTGTCTCCATGGCGACGAGACACCACCCCCATTGGGAAACCAAGCGCTGGGGGCGGGGTCAGAACACAGCCCGCCCCCGCCACGCGACGCCATAGAGACGGAGCCGCCGGCTAGAGCAGCCCAGAGGGCGTCGCCGGACCGAGGAAGCGTGCCAGCGGATGGTCACGTGATCGGTCGGCTGTCCTGGCTCCCATAGGCTCCCGGGGAGTGTGAACTGGCCTTTGATTGGCTGAGGTCAGGGCGGAAATAATAACTCCCAGCATGCCTTGCAGCAAGGCATGGGCTGTTTTCACAATGGAGACAGGTGACTAGTGGGGTGCCCCCAAGGTCTGTCCTGGGCCCTGTGCTGTTCAGCCTATGCATCAATAACCTGGGGAAGGGGGCAAACAGGGAGGTGACAACGTTTGCAGATGCTACAAAATCACTCAGGCTAGTAAAGCCCCATGCAGAGGGTCTCACAAAACTGGGTGAGTAGCAAGAAAATGGCAGAGGAAATTCAGTGTCGATAAATGCAAAGTAATGTACGTTGGAAAACATCATCCCAACGAGACAGATAAAATGATGGAGTCTCAATTAGCTGTCACCACTCTGTAACGAGAGGCCTGGATTTGACATAATTTACAGCCTTCTTGTGTATGGACTTAGCACAATAACTCAAGAGAGAGATCTTGGAGTCATTGTGGATAGTACCCTGACAACATCCACTCAATGTGCAGCGGCCGCCAAAAAAGCGAACAGAATGTTGGGAATCGTTAGGAAAGGAATCTATCTATCTAAATCCAGGGTATGCCCACACTTTGAATAGTGTGTGCAGTTCCGGTCACCCCATCTCAAAAAAAAGATACATTGGAATTGGAAAAGGTTCAGAGAAGGGCAACAAAAATGATTAGGGGGATGGAACAGCTTCTGTATGAGGAGAGATTGAAAAGACTGGGACTATTTGCCTTCTAAAAGAGACGGCTAATGGGGCATATGACAGACTTCCACCACCCCCTGCAACACACCTGCAGCCTCTTGGAGCCTCGGCCCCTGCCAACACCTCCAACATGCCACCAGCCACTGGCAGCCCTGACCCCCACAACGCCCCCCCCCCGCAAAATGTCCCCAGTTGCCCATCCTGCTGGGAGCCCCGACCCCACCACCGCCCCCCGACCACCACCCATCACTGGGAGCCCCGATCGCCGCCCCTCATTGGAAGCCCCGACCCCACCAATGCCCCCCCGACCACCACCCCTAACTGGGAGCCCTGACCCGACCACCGCCCCTCACTGGGAGCCCCAGCCCCGCCACCGCCCTCCGACCACCACCCCTCACTGGGAGCCCCGAACCCACCAACGCCACTACAAAACTAAGTTGACTGAAGTTGCATCAACATACAGTAATTAAATCGGTTTGGCATGTCCACACTGGCTCCTTTTGTTGGTGTGCGCGTCCTCACCAGGAGCGCTTGCACCAATTTAAATGTCAGTGGGGCACTGATAGCCTGAGCCCCACCACCCGGGGACCAACAGCCTGAGCCCTGCCACCCGGGACTGACAGCCAGAACAGTCTGATGTAAGCAGTGCAGTGTCTACACGGACACTGCATCAACCTAACTGCATTGACTGAAGCGCTACATCTCATGGAGGTGGAGTTATTAGGTCGGTGTACTTGGCAACTCACGTGGGTGGGAGAACGGCTGTAGTGTGTAGACTCTGACAGAGCTAGGTGGCCGTAAGCTGCCTTACTACAACCTAACTCTGCAGTATAGACCAGGCCTTAGCTTCCAAGTGAAAGGCTGATTCTACCAGCTGCTTGCCCCACACTTTCCCTGGGGCCCTGAGTGCTAGCATGGATTCCCGTGAACTCACTTCTGTCATAAAGATTCTGCAGTCAGATTAGCTGCCAGTTCTGCGGATGATGTACAAGCCAGAGTAGCCTCCTGTATCCAAACTGGGGGTCTCTGCAAGGTTAGGGTAGACTCAAGCCCCCCTCTGAGCTGGGGGGCCCTGCAGGGCTACCTATCTATGGTGTTTTCAGGGTGCCTGTCATGGTGGCATCTAAGCACTTGAATAAAGTGATAAGCTATGACTGGTACATGCTGGGAGCTGCTCTGTGGAATAGAAAGAGGTCACTGGGATGCAGGCACATTCTGATCAAACTGGCCCTTTACCATTTGCTATTGGAAAGAGAGGGGACAGGAAGCTGCGTGATGCTGCGGTATTTCCAAAGGTGGGGTTTATTGGCTGATTCACCAGAAACAAGCCAACAGTTCAATCATTAACTAGATCAGGAACTTGGGGGGGGTCACACCCCCGCTTTATCTCCCACTCCCAGCACACCGCAGAGCCCCACCTAAACTCACATGGGGCAAGTGAGATTTAAGGACAAAGCCCACCAAGGAGATCTTCCTTTGTTTGTTGCCAATGATGCTACAACAGGCCAGTCAGTGTCCCACAGGGTCCAGTCTGCAGTGCCCGCGGGGACAGTGGTTCAAACAGCAAGGTTGCCTCCATGCTGGATCCTGGAGGCAAATCCAGTCACGCCCTGCTCCCCGACTGCCCCAATGAACGATTCTACAGCAGTTACAAAATACGCAAGAGTGAGACTTGACCCCAGAAAGTGCGACGCCGTGTGCAATGCAGAGCCCGTGTGGTTACTCTGTGAGAAGTGTCACCAGCTGGCGTTGGAGCTGTGACAGCTGCGGCTCAGGGAGGAGGTATCTCTGGATGATGTGAATGGCTTCTGTCTCCGTAATGCTCTGGAAGTCCTCGGCAGTTTTGATGGGCAAGTGCCCAGCCAGCTCACAAAGTGCCACATTAAATGCAGCTTCCCCTTTGGACCCAAAGCAGGACCTCCTGGCCCAGATGAGCACCCGGATTCCAGAGCGGGTCTCCGAGTGGGATGGCTCCCCAGGAGCAGTTCCCCGGGTCACAAACACGTTGTGTGCAATCTCTTTATCCACCAGGTAGTCAGTGACTTGGCAGACATTGTGCGCTAGGGCCCCCAGGTCCTCCCCTTCACTGTAGAACAGGAACCCTGGGGCCGGGACCCCCCGCAGGAAGTGGAAGTTGAGTGTGGGGCACAGGGGTTCGCCTGGGGCAGTCTCAGTCAGGAGCTCCCAATCCAGGTAAAACCCATGTAGGTGCAAGTGGTTGACCGAGGCGAAGCCTCCCAGGCTGTTAAACCCAACGCGGAAGCCTGGGTGGGCACTGAGAAGAACCGACTCCAGCCCGAACTGGAGCAGCTCCTGGGTGAGAATCTGAGGCAGGCAGAGAGTGGGGTCTGGAATAAAGAGCACATGTCCAAACTCCAAGGGGCTGACATTAATCACCACTAGGATGCGGTCAGGTATCCCTGGGAGTTTCGACTCCAGCAGGCCCCCTTGGAACTGAGAGCACCCCCTGCTGGGAGGGTGGGGACTTGGGTCCCTGACCATATGGAAGAGGATTTCCCCTGGTTTGATCTTATTGAAGTGGAATTGCTGGGGGTTGAATTTCTGCCTGACACTCTGGATGTCCTGTGGTTTCCTTCTCTCCAGACCTCTCTGGATGTTCAGCTGGGCCACAAACCGGACATTCCCTGGCAAGATACGGGTCTGCAGCTCCCCCAGGTGATACCTGAACAAACCCAGCTTCATCCTCTCCTCCCAACCGGACTGCAAAGCTCTGTCAAAGCGAGACATGGTGCGGCTTGCTGGCCCCTCTGACCTGCTTCTCCACCACCCAACCCCACACAGAACAAAATCCTCTTCCCCATAAACAAAGTCCTCCGAGCAGGACACAGCACGGCACTCTGGCTGCTCCTGGGATGGCAACCCCAATGTTTCATGGAGGGCTTGGCTGGCACCCAGGGACACTGCCATGTTAGATGAGCAGCAGCACCTGCTCAGGGCTCCCCTGCAGGCAGCATCTCCAGCCGATCTGAAACAGACAATGGAATAAGCAGGGGCTGTTATGGGGACATGGATAAAGCAAAGAGAAACAGCCCGTCTGTACAAAACGCCAAGGACTCCACTGACCGTGTGACTGCCGCAGAGCGGGGGAGTGCTGACAGTGCAGGTCTGGGACTCAGGCCGCTGGGTCCTAGTCCCCCATTGAGTGCGCTTCGGCAAGTCCCTTCCCCACCCATCACATGGGGAGAATGCTGACCTCCCAGGGGCTGAGAGGGTTAGTTAGTGTTAGAAGGTGTGTGAGATCCTCTGGTGGAAGGCCAAAGTATTGCCAATGATTGTATCATTGCTACAGCGGGTACTAGGAAAGCAGCCACATCGGCGGAAAAACTCCAGCAGTGCAGGTCTCTGAGAGCAGAGCGCCACGGGCCTCTGTGCTCTTGGCAGTGGCACTGACCCCCAGTCCCATCGAATACAGCCTAGCACAAGATCTCTGTCCTGCTGTCACAGCACTGCCTGGGATCATTCTAGCTACCCCAGAGATGGAGGGATAGCTCAGTGGTTTGAGCATTAGCCTGCTAAACCCAGGGTTGTGAGTTCAGACCTTGAGGGGGCCACTTAGGGATCTGGGGCAAGAATCAGTACTTGGTCCTGCTAGTGAAGGCAGGGGGCTGGACTCAATGACCTTTTGGGGTCCCTTCCAGTTCTATGAGATAGGTGTATCTCCATATTAAAAAAAAGAGATCACCCCTCCCTGCATGATTTCCCAAGACAGCTACA